CCTTGTTTTTTATACCATTAGGATAATAAAGTTTAGCTATAGTTAGAATGCTTTCTTTTTCATCTGTGCTTTGCTTCTTTTAAGATGAATAGAAATTATATTTTTCTTTTAATCAATTTCAAATAGAATGAGTGCATAAAAAATCTCAGCCTGCAGAATGCAGTATTTTTATTTACTCATTTTTCAAAAGAGACACGCGAGGAAACACCTAAAACAATCATTTTGAACCTTCAAAATATTTTATAGAAAACAGACCTTCTTTCATGATTTCTACACTAGTAGATAATACGTGAGAACTGTACCTGTACTGTTGTTTAATGTTCTAATGGGATAAATTCCAGTTGTTTTATAATTTTATTGGAAAGGTAGTGAGGACATCTAACCAGGAACTCGGGAGCAGTACAATGTGTTTCCCCTGTTCTTAGCTTTGTTATACCACCAGTCCCCTGGGGATCCCAGGATTCTAATTTTAACTGTTCTGAAAGAGGGTATTATAAATGAGTGATTGCAATGTGGCTAACAGAAGCCAGGGAGAATTCTCATACATATAATTTAAAAAAGGAATGGTGTCAAAGTATTCAAGGCCAGAAGAGATGAAAACTAAAGAAGTGTCTTGCCTATCTTTTGTTTGTTACTTTCAAATCTATTCAGCCTCTCTTTTCCAGATCTTTTGGTATAGAATTTGTCTTTCTGTCTTTAACCAAACCTTCCATTTTACTGCTGGAAAAATTTGAGGCATAGGGATGGTCCTTAGCAAGTCAGTGCAAATACAGTATTAGAGGTAGTAAACAAATAGTCTCCCAAGAGAAAGGGATTCTTAATAATTATGCATATTTGCATATCATTATCCAACAACTCAGTTGTTGAGAATTATTTCACAGAATTATTATTTGATCTTAGTGAACAGACTGGTTTGAATAATTGCCTGGTGCAATGCAGATAAAAAAAATAACCATTTTATATAATTCTAAGATTGAGTTTGAAGGGATTTCTGCTTGAACTGGGAGATTAGATTAAATGCCCTTTAAAATCTGGTATTCTTTGATTCTTGTTGTAACCATGCCTTATTGGAACAAGATTGTCATCTGCAGGACAAAGCAAGTAACTATCTTACAAGATTTTTCTTATGTTCATGGATAAAAAGCAACATGATTTACTTCCACCCATAAAAATCCTATCTATCTATATAAAACCCTAAAATGCAAATCGACCAAATGGCACAATGACGACCAAATGGTGGAACGATCAGTCACTATGATGCGCACTGACCACCAAGGGGCAGATGCTCAATGTAGGAGCTGCCCCCAGCCTGCAGGGTGGTGGGGGGAAGGGGGTGGTGAGTAAGTGGCACCAGGCCAAGGTGGGTGCAAGCGGGGGCCCTGACCGCCCTGCCAGTTGCCCCAAAGATAGACCCTGATCACAGGCCAGGCCTAGGGGCCCTACCCATGCATGAATTTCGTGCACTGGGCCTCTAGTATAATAAAAGCGTAATATGCAAATCAACTGAACAGCAGAATAACCGGTTGCTATGATGTGCACTGACCACCAGAGGGCAGATGCTTAATGCAGGAGCTGCCCCCTGATGGTCAGTGTGCTCGCACAGGGGGAGCGCTGCTCAGCCAGAAGCTGGGCTCACGGATGGTGAGCGCAGCGGCAGTGACGGGAGCCTCTCCCACCTCTGGTACAGGCAGGCAGTAAGGAGCGAGGGGTCCTGGACTGCAAGAGAGATGTCTGACTGCCAGTTTAGGCCCGATCCCCAGAGGGGTTGTTCAAGCGCTTACTCTTAATTTTGCGTAAATTGAAAAGTGTAAGCCAGCAGGTGGACATCCCCCAAAGGGTCCTGGACTTCAAGAGGGCGTGGGCTGGTCTGAGGGACCCCCCTCTCCCAGTGCATGAATCTTGTGCACCGGGCCTCTAGTCAATAATAATAAAACAAGAAACAGAAATATTAGGTTACTAGTCAAAAATATCATGGTTAAATTTTGACTTTTTTTTTTATGAATGACTTTAAAATTTTCTTACTTCCCTGTTATATCAAACTAGAGGCCCAGTGCATGAAATTTGTGCACTGGTAGGGTCCCTAGCAGCTGCTGGCTGCCTGCCAGATACTCCCTTCATTCCCCCAGTCGGCCCTGCCCCCTGGTTGAACTCCTAGACAACCCCTGATCGAGAGGACAATTTGCATACTATGCTTTTATTATATAGGAGGATTCTTCATCTGAGCCCTGGCTGGTGTGGCTCAGTTGATTGAGTATTGTCCCATGCACTGAGAAGTCGCTGGTTCAATTCCTGGTCAGGGCACATGCCCAGGAGGCAGCCGATCCATGTTTCTCTCTCTCTTTTTAATTCTTCCTCTGAAAAAAAAACAGATAATCCACACTGTGCACCTGTCCTGTAAGGGCCTTATAAAAGATGATGATAAATTATCTTGAATGATGAATTTTTTTCTTCAAATTTTATTTATTGATTTTTTTTAGAGAGAGATTCTTGTATGTGCCCTGACCAAATTGTTGTTCCACTGATTTATGCATTGATTCTTGTATATGCTCTGACTGGGATTGAACCCACAACCTTGACATATCAGGACAATGCTCTAACCATCTGAGCTACTGGGCCAGAGCTACATGATGAAGTCTTAAACGTGAACTGAAAGTCTTAAACAGAGAGCCCAAATACAATTTTATATAACTTTTTTTGTATTTCTTTGTATAGCACCTTTAACTTACATTAACTTGGGTGTATAATTCTGTTTACTTAAACAACTATTATCTAGTATCTATCTAGTAAGTGCCAGGCATGTGGGAAACAGAAACTATAGTCCTTACCCGCAAGAAACTTCACTCTATTAAAGGAGAAAAATACAAAAGTCAGTTACCTATAGTCTGATATGCTGAGTGCTATCCTCTAAATTTATATAAAGGGCTTTAGGAGATTTGGGATGATTACTAAGCTGGATTAATAGGAGCAGGAATAAGCCATGCTATTTATTAAGTTGTTGAATTTACTAACCGACTTCTGCCAAAACTTAGAAGGGGAAAGCAAATGAAACAAATGTCATCAAAGTGGGAAAGAATAATAATTAAGCTCTCCAAGAACTTCTTTCAAGGAGAAGGTACTCTGATGTTCAATAATATCAGAGTTAGTGCCCCAAAAGTAATCTTTTTTATGGTTGTTCAAGGGCTTACTCTCAATTTTGCGTAAATTGAAAAGTGCACCAGACCAGGAGGTGAGACTCCTTCTCCTGGGTTTGGATAATGCTGGCAAGACTACCCTTCTGAAGCAGCTTGCATCTGAGGACATCAGCCACATCACACCTACACAGGTGAGCACTGCGTTGGACCCAGATATTTGTGGGACACCCGGAAGATGATAATATGATAATAGCAGTATGAAAGGCAAAATGGGAAATATCATTTTGTCCATTTCTAAGTTTTGTTACTGAGAGAAGTATATACTGTATAAAATAATCTTAAGGTTTCAAAAATATATTGAGGTTCCATTCATATGAGATACTTAGTCAAATGCATAGAGACAGAAAGTAGAATAATGGTTACCAGAGGCTGGAAAGAGAGGAGGAAATTGGGAATTATTGTTTAGTGGGCACAGAGAGTCAGTGTTGCAAGATGAAGAAAGTTCTGTGGACGGATGGTGGTGATGGTCGCACAACAATGCAAATGTACTTAATGCCATTCAACTGTACACTTAAAAATGGAATGGTACATTTTCTTTTATGTATATTTTATAATCTATAATAATAAAAGCATAATATGCTAATTAGACCGGACATTCTTCCAGACGTCCTTCTTGACAAAGCCGGAGCTGCGAGGGAAGCCCAGGTCCTAGGTGCCTGCCAGCGGCCAGAGGGAAGCCCGGGTCTCGGGTACCAGAGAGCAGTCAGTGCCGGCAGCCGGGGGAAGGAAGGCCTACTCTTGCACAAATTTCGTGCATCAGGCCTCTAGTTTGGAAATAAATAATATAAATATAGATGTATACATATGTCAGGACACAATCAAGTCCCTCAGATCTAAGTGATTCCTTTAAAAAATAGCTTTATCTTCTCTGATTATGAAATTAATTCATATAGAAAATACAGAGGAAGTATAAAGAAGAGAGTACTGTGAGAAAACCCACTGTTAATATTTTACTGTATATTTTTCAGACTCAATGAACACAAATATATAGCAATTTTTTAAAATTACCTATATATTTTTTTTAAATATATTTTATTGATTTGTTACAGAGAGGAAGGGAGAGAGATAGAGAGTTAGAAACATTGATGAGAGAGAAACATCAACCAGCTGCCTCCAGCACACTCCCCACTGGGGATGTGCCCGCAACCAAGGTACATGCCCTTGACTGGAATCGAACCTGGGACCCTTGAGTCCGCAGGCCGACGCTCTATCCGCTGAGCCAAACCAGTTAGGGCAGATTACCTATATTTTTAATCCAGTCTCATCAACCCTCCTCTTTCCTAAGGCTTAGCAAGTAAAGCACAAAGGATAAGACAGTGGTGGTGCTCACTGTGTGGCAGTTGAAAGACAAGTCCTGGTCGGAAGAACTCCAGTTCGCGTCTTACATCTCCTTTCCTGTTGGAAATTCCGAGAAAGCTCGACCTTTGGCCAGGCCTTTGGGTTTCCTAACTAGGAACAGCCCTATTAGCCTCAGCCACTTTAAAGTGCTTGAGCATTAACATTCAGCAAAACCGGGTTTATTTAGCATTTTCTGTCGCCATACTATATACTAAGAGCTTGGTGTCAGGTTTGAATAGCTGTGCTGGTGTGTGTATTTCACAGCCTATGAATATTACTGATTCAAAACACTTTGCAGAAAAGTCATTTCAACTCTTACCAAATGAGCAATTTTACAGCTTCTGACAAATTTAATGTGTAGTCGAAGAAGGAGCATATTACAGTAGTATAACCTAGAAAGGCTGAAAACATTAGTGTGTGAGGATTTCAGCCAGAAAAAGAAGTGCTAGATTTTGGGGTGTTTTTTCGGGGAGGCTTGTTTGTTTGATTTGTGATAGGCTGTATTTCTCAAGAACATGCTGCGACCATGGAAATGAACTCAAAGTATGGACCCAAAGTTCCAATTCTAACTTTCAGGCTTTGTTTGATGTGTTGTAGATGACTCTTATTCTATAGGGTAGGGCAAAAGTAGGTTTACAGTTGTTTGTATGGAAAATAATACAATAATTAATAAGTAACACAAGAATAAACTCTATTTCATGTACTAACAACTGTAAACCTACTTTTGCCACATCATGTATTAGTCAAGTTTTCATATTCTTTAAAAACAAACTTTTATTGTATTTTTGTTTTTATATTTAAAAAAGTAATAGATGCTCATTATAGTAAATTTAGAAAGTATACATAAATAAAATTGAGAAACTAAAAATCACCTATAATGTCCGTTCATACATAACCACTGTTAACACTTAGTGATATATGCATTCAGTTTTTTTTCTATGCATATATATGATGGGTATATTTTAAATAAATAAAAAAGGCTTACAGAGAATAGGCTGTTTTGGATCATCTTTTTCACTCAATACTGTATGTAATATCTTTCTATGTTGTTATAAATATGAATGTAATATACATCTCATTATTTCCTTAGAATAATTTCTTAGTAGATTTATTAGGTCTGATGACAATAGAATTTTAAGACAGTTGATACATATGGTTGGATTCCAGGATTTACTCTTATTTATTTCCTGCTTCATTTTAGAAGGATTTTATGTTACTGGATTTGACATGTAATATTGTAGTTATGTATTCAGTTTCTAAGCTCACAAAAGTGGTTTTGTCAATGAGTCAGAATGAAGCAGCCTTTTACAATAATCTTAAGTCACATCCCTTTAGAGTTCTTAAACTTCATATTTATTCAGTCATTGGCATTTTAGAGGAGCTGCAATCAGCATCATCCCCAGTTATTCTCTAGTGATTGTTTATCCTCAGGAGGAATTGGGTGGTAGTGTTCCTGTACCATTGCACTGTGCCTGTCCTTCTGGGCTAGGCAGTAGTGTTGGTAAGCTGCCAGATGAGGCAAATGTTTATGGAGGCATCCCCAGATGCACTTAACTCCCGTTATTCTGGATGAAATATCATTTCTGGGGTAGCACACTGTCGATTGGATTTTTCAGAGCCTGATTTCACTAAACCATTTTTGCAAGAAGATATTTTTTTTATTCTTGCTCATGAAATGCCTTCTCTCCAAACCCCAGAGTCCTTGTTAATTTGTTTCTCTGCACACTACCTCCCAGCTCACAATTCTGCCTGCCTCTGATTTGCTTACCTTCCCCAAAGTTGTACCTTGAGTACCTGTCCTGAAAATGAATGCTCTCTTTTCAGGTTCATTAGAGATACCTAAAGAACAGTTTTAAATGCCTGCTTGTTTGTTTGTTTTCATCACTACCTAAAATTGAGAGCTCTACTTAGTTTAAACATGCTGTTCCAGCAGGCCCTACCTTTCTCATAATCCAGTTATTAACCAGCCTTCCCCATAGTTTCTGAGTTGAGCTCCTTCCTTTTCCTGAGTAATCCATGTGAGAAAATTTCTTTAATTTTGAACTACTCCTAAAGAATGCAATCTTACAGATTTTAGCTTTTGTCTTTTTGAATGTAGCATTTGTTCTGTTCTGTTGTCAGATTCAGCTTCAGGGGGTTTTTGTTAGTTAAAAGTAATGTCCTGTTAAATGTTACCATCCTGAGGACTCCTCAGGGGTGTGGCCTGTGTTATCAGAGCTACTGTCATACCAAGTTCTCCTCAGTGGTTGTGTGTGTGTACTCATGATAGGAAGCACATATGTTAGCCATGACATTAATAACACTGACTCCACAACCTGAATGAAGTAAGCATGTATAAATACATTTTTTCGTTCCCTACTGTAGCAAACTGTTTTCAGTATTACCAGTGTCACATCTGGCAGAGTACCTCAGAATTAGTAAATAACATAGCTGTCCAATGTAACTTTGTCAGAATTATGATCTCAAAGCTTAAAAAAAACTTGTTTTTACCTTTCTTTATTGCAGGGTTTTAACATCAAAAGTGTACAATCACAAGGTTTTAAACTGAATGTATGGGACATTGGTGGACAAAGGAAAATCAGACCCTACTGGAGGAATTATTTTGAAAACACTGATATTCTTGTAAGTACTCTTTCTGATGTGTTAATTCATAGTCTTTTCTGCTGGGTTAGGAACATTAACTCTATAAGGTTCTGTCTTGCCAATAATTCCATTGCCATAACATTAATCACTAAATTTAGGGCTAGCAGAAGGCTCCAAACTGTAAGAGAGAAACATCTTTGTATAACTTGTATAAGATGTTTTGCTGTCGCTCAGTAACAATGTTATACCCACACCCACCTTGGCAAATAAAGTGTTTATTTATTACCATAGTGATTCGAACAGCAGTAGGGAAGTCAGAAGATTGTGCAGGAACTCTATCATCCAAGGATACCAACAAATCAAGTGTGTCCCAAACTGAGCAATCAAGATAGTGAGAGTCCTGGAAACAATGATGTGTCAGGAATGGTTGAAAGGCCTGACAATGTCCTTCCTGGAAAACACTTGGCACTGTCTTCAGTTACTTTAAGAACTATCTTAAGTGAAACATTAGCCTCATTGTGGATATTTCTAAAGGACCGGACAAGGAGCAGTTTGGCGAGTATTCGATGGTAGAGTTTAACTCAGAATAAGGAAGACGTTTACTATAGTTGTAACTGCCCAGAGTTAAAGAAGCTGCCTCAGGCATTGGGAATTCCCTGGCTCAGGTGCCTTTGTTCAGGCAGAGGCTGGGATGTTAGTTCCCAGCTCTCGGTCATGTTCTCTAGGACTACTGTGTGTCTCCTGGATTAAGGTACTTGGAGAGAAATACTCAAGTCAGAGCAGTTCATAAGGACATGAATGGCTCTAAGGTTCTGTACGGAGGTCTCAGAAACTTTCCGGCCCTCAGGTCAGGGAATTTTAAATCATAAGCTCTAACACTTTGAGAGTCGACTGCAAGGTAGTGATAATCTGACTCTGGATCCCACACTTCCCATTTGCTTAGAGTGCCTGGGAAGTATAGAACTGGCCAGCAAAATCAGCTTGCAGCAACCCTGCAGTTGCTTTCACCAGCTACATTACATTGCCAGCACCAGACACTATTTTGGATTCAGTGTCAACATTCCATTATTTCCCAGTGCCATTTGGGATTAAACAACTCTTGGGGAGCAGGTGGGTCCCCAGGGTTAAATTCTAAGGCCTGGTGACTCTTAGTTCTGTCTGATAGTTTTGTAGCAGCTTGCCGTGGCAGTGATTGATGGATTATATTTGTATTTAATAGTTTTCCATTGTTGGTTAAAAAGACCTATTACACTAGACTCCACAACAGTATTGAGGCTTGACACATTTAGTTGCCTGGTTAACACTTTTCAATTATCTCTAGAGTGCCACAATAAATTTTTGCTTTAGAGTGGGTGTTGACAAACTGATCCAGTCTGCCTCCTGCTATACTATAGCCTATGAGCTAAGAATAGTTTTTATACAGTGTTTTTAAATGGTTGAAAATTTTTCAAAAGAAGAATAAGATTTCCTTACATGAAAACGAAGTGAAATTCCAATTTCCGTGTCCAGAAAGTTCTTTTGTGACACAGCCACGTCCACTTGTTTGCATACAGGGTGGGCAAAAGTAGGTTTATAATTGTGAATATGCAAAACACAGTTTATTGCTTTATTATTATTTACTAATTATTGTATTTATTTGATTATAACTGTAAACCTACTTTTGCACACCCTGTATTTTCTATGATAGCTTTCACACTATAACAGCAAAATCCAATAGTTGTGAAAAAGATTGTGTGGGCCACAAAACCAAAATTATTTACTATCGGACCCCTTACAGAAAAAGTGGTTCTCTAGGGGTTTGAAAGGGTCAGGGCAACTCCTAAAAGTGCCAAAGATATTCCAGGGATGATGACACTGAGAACATTTTACTTCAGCTTTATTAATTGTGGGGAGGTGACTAGTCAATAAAACCTAAAGTATGATAGAAAGAAGGGGAGAGGCTGTCTTCCATTTCTTTTAGGCCAGGAAATAGCAGCCTTTTGATAAAAATGCATCTTTTTTTTTCAAGGTGTGTTCATATTATTACTAAACTCTATTTACTTATTGTTAACAGTTTTGTGTTTAAATGCAACATAATTTAAATAAAGCAACTGTGTCATCATTTCCATAACCAATGTGTAGGACGTAAGTGAGATCTCAAACAACTGTCTCATGTATTATTTCCGTAATGCCACTCACACCCGAGTCACCTGGGTATCGATACTGCTGCAGCACACATAATTGAAAACCACAAGTTACCCAGAAACCTTATTTGTTGTTTTCAACCTCCTTTTAGACTTTTGCTCAAGCCGTCAATAAAAAGCCACACATTTTAGTATCATCTCTTGTTGGCTCCCTACCCCTCTAGTGGAGAAATACTTGGGAGCAATAAAATGACCAAAAGGTGGCAGCAGGACCAGAAGCAAAAGGAGAAACAAAGAACCCTCCATTCACATGCTGGATAATCAGTGTGGATAGTCCAGAGTAGGCTGTACTTCCATCAGAAAAACAAACAAAAACATTTTTAGTCTTCCTTCCACAACCAAATAGTCATTTCAAAGCAGTTGCCAAGGAAGATGTGAATTGGCTTTGCTTAAAGCATCATTCTGAGTGCCGTGCATAACTATATTTTAGAATAGATTTATGAAACTTGATTTTTGAGGTTCCATAATGTTTTAAGGTCAGAAGCATTATAAATGTTGTAACTTTATCTGATACTTTCTGAGTATTTTTATTGATTATTAATTAATTTTTGGATTAAAAATTTTTACAACTAGATTAACAAATATATATATATATATATTTTAAGGCAAGAGGCTCTCCTTACCTTTATCTCTATTGACCAGAAGAAAATAGATACTGGGCAGCACTGGGGTGACAAGCAACCATGAGAAGCATATATCACTGCAGGAAAACAAATTGATGTATTACTAGATTAGTTGTTTTATAGACTTCTTCCTGGAATTATTGTGTAGTAGTTGTCAAATTTTATAAAAATTATGCTAAATGATAAGGAGAATTAGGCTAAATGTATAGTTTAGGGAAACCCTCCTTTAATTATACTGAATCTTTTAATGGAGGCAATAAATAGGAAGTAATTTAGCAAGTAATTATAAGTAAAAGTTAAAACTTTCTTCTCATTGATCTTCAGCCTCTGGATTCTCTGGTATCATCTCTCTTGAACTATTGCCTGAGTGAAGATAATCCTAATCCACTGTTGACTCCCAAATAATTCTAATTAGGTCTTTTATATTGAGGTTCGCCCTCCCATTACATTCCTTCGTTCTATATCTACATTTATACTATATCTGCTACCTTAAAAATGAGAGCCTCACTGGTGGAAAACAGTATGGAACTTTGGGTGTTTGTGGTGTGCAGAGCCCATTAATGCATGTATTCACACTGAGTCAAGAGTAATATTAACTACAACAATAATAATAAGGCCGAAAAGAAAATACTGAGACAACATCCTCCCTCCTTTTATGATTCCCCTGAAAGAAACACAGGTGGAAACACAGGGTATTCTTCAGAGGAAAGCCCAAACTTTGTTCCTGGTATATTTAGCATTAGTGATTCTAAATGAGAGTGCACCCCGCACCAGGCCTCTAGTTTATGTATAAAATGAGAAGTAGTGCAATCTATCTCATAGTGTTGTAACAAGGATTAATATGGTAAATCTAGCAAGCATGTTTAGTGAATGCACAGTAAATGTAGCTATTTTCATCCTGCATAACTCTACTGACTTTTTACTTTGGAGCTTTGCTGGAGGTATTTGGGGGCACCCTACATTTAATTAATTAATTAGTTAGGTAGTTTGCTTGTTTCTTTGTTTTGCATCCATAGATGAGGTAATAGTTACCAGCTCAATTTCTATATGCTATACTAATGTGAAACTGGCTGACAGGAACACCTGTTCTTTCCATAAAGGTGCCCTGTATTTTACATATCTGCTATTGAGATAACCTCTTCTTTTACTTTACAGATATATGTAATTGACAGTGCAGACAGAAAAAGATTTGAAGAGACGGGTCAGGTAAATAATTCTTCTGTTCATCCATTTCCCAAATAACTGGGTATTCATTAATCTGCCTTGTCAATGTATGACAGTGAGAGAGATTTTTTTTGTTTAACCTTTGCAGTTTAAACAAGACAGTCACTCTGGCAAGCAGGCAAAAATACCAGTTGGCTAAAAAGAAATTAGTGCAGAATCCTCTAAACAAATTGAATAAACAAGTTATAAGAAAATGGAATTTACCAGCATGCCCAAAAGCTCTTCAGGTTTCTTCTCATTCCACATAGAAATGAACCTAGAAGAACAATTCACTTATTATGTCTGTGTACATTTTTCAATATCAACTTAATTGATTCAAGGGCAACTAACAGATTCAAAGGGATGGAAGAAATGTGTAAGCCAAGATGAAGCTGCTCTTGTTTCCAAGCCAAAAGATAGGCATCTTTGAACCCCAAAATGACTTTGAATGCAGACTACATGTCAACATGATTACACAGTGCAATTTGTATACACAGTTTTAAACAGAGAAGCGGTGGGCACAGACCATTTTATTGAGGACACTGATAAGAAGCAAGGGGTAGAGTGGACCTCTTTGGAGAAGCATGATTACATTTTATTGCAGAGTCCTTGGCTTGTGTCCTAAACTACCACTGGTGGCCTTCCAAAGGTAGCCGTCCCCATGTTTATGTTCCTTTTTCCTGGAAATTAGTTTGAGAACTCTCCAGACTCTTGGAGATAACCCTTCTATACCTTGATGATTTCTGGATCATCACTTTACGTGAGCTTGAAGGTGAAGGGTGTTATATAATGCTGACACCTCTTGAACCCTCCAGTTCTCTTTGGCAGCACAAGTGTCTTACGTAGGGTTAAAATGTGGATTTAATGGGAGAGGTGGGTCCTCATATTTTGGTACGTACACACCCTCTCCTATACTTATTGCAGACAGAATCAACATAACAGGGTAGACCCCAACTGATAGCCTAAAAATGAGAGACCTTGCCAGATGGACTAATACAGTTATTTTAGGATATGGGTTTGATGAACTGTAATGCATGGACATGTTTTGGAGGTAAAGATTGATGAAACAGAATTATAGTCTTTAAAGCAATTGTCATTTTCAATTTATCCTATATAATAAAAGGCTAATATGCAAATTGTCCCCTCGGGAGCTCATCTGCTCACTATGACGTGCACTGACCACCAGGGGGCAGCATGGAATGAAGGAAGGCCCTGGCGGCAGCCAGAATGCCTCAATTGGCCCTAATCACCGGCCTGGCCTAGGGACCCTACCCATGCACAAATTTTGTGCACCAGACCTCTAGTATTTAAATAAATACACACACACACATACACACACACGCACATATACACTGAAAGTTATTTGCAGATAATAGCCTTGGCTAAATTTTAAATTTCTAATCACATCTTGTGTTCTCTCTTGAACTGTGTTTCTCAAAGTATGATCTATGAATCCCCATAGCAGAACTACTAGAGGGGAGCTAGTTAAAATGCAGATTCCTAAATAAGTAAATAAGTAAGATAAAATGTAGATTCCTGGGCTCTCGCTCAGACTTCCCAAAGTCAGTCTCTCTGGTAGGCCCAGCAGTCTGTCAGGGGAGTCTTTCACAGGCTCAAGTTTGAGAACCACTGCCCTTGAAAGTTGCTGGTTGATCAGCTTAACTGTTTTATTTTTTTCTAGCTAGAAGTTAATGGTTAAATATTATAGCTTTCATCCTTCCCTCCCCATCCATTCTCAAAATGATCCAGGAACTAGCTGAATTACTGGAGGAAGAAAAGCTAAGTTGTGTTCCAGTGCTCATCTTTGCTAATAAGCAGGATTTGCTCACGGCAGCCCCTGCCTCTGAAATTGCAGAAGGACTGAACTTGCACACCATCCGTGACCGAGTCTGGCAGATCCAGTCTTGCTCAGCTCTCACAGGAGAGGGCATTCAGGTGAGATTACCTGGAGGCTTGGTCACCTGGCAACATGACAACCAACCAAGGTAGTCTGTCTCATTGGCTGGGCTGATTTAGATAGGAAAGGTATGAAACAAATAGCCTTTAATTGGTAGATGAACAATCCAGGATGTAAAGGGCATGAAGAGATTCGTTCTTTTCTACTTAGCAGCCAATGTGACATCAATAACTTTTCCAGGAAAGACAAACCCACCCCACACAAGCAACAAACTACCCTATTAGGTAGGAGGTCAGAACAGAAGACTCAGAGCAACAGTCACCCGCTGGTGGTCCATGAGGACCGAAAGGTTGGCGACCGCTGACATAGAAGATGCTTTGTAACTCTAGCATTCTTTGATGATTTGGTTGGGGTTTTTGTGTTGTGTCTCATGTTGTGGCCAAGGTAACAGAGCCATCAACAGTTACGCACACTAGTCATCCTGTAGAAGTGTTGTTTTGTTTGCTGTTGGCTGTCTTCACTGCCTTCAGGGTTGGTGTCTATTTCCTGCTACTTCAGTTTGGTTTCCCACTGGTAGGCTTCTGCTCACAGAGGGCCTCGTGCTTTATACTGAGGCACTACATGCCAGAAGAGCAGGCTCCCCTCACTTGATATTAACTGAGAGGCTATATCCTCAAAGAATGATGAACAGGTTCAGCTCTGATGCTTCCTACCAAGCAGACGCAAACCAGGTGACACTTGGAGTCAGTGCTCTAGGACTTCTTTATTCCGAAGCCCCAGCATGCCACATGCCTCACTTTAGACATCTGGTGGACCTGCCGGGGAAGTGACACCGTGAGGTGAGAGCCGGGCAGTACTGCTCCGGGATGCTGTGGGGGATTAGCAACATTAAAGCAGTGGTACCTTCCCTCGTTGCCATATGGCGTGTGTGTCTAATGGCATGACCAGTTTGCTTTTCTCTGAACTTGTGTGCTGGGGTATGAGCCTGCAACTTCTCAATCGTCCTGCAGCCTCTTTCCATTTCCTTTCTAATACTCTCCTTCTCTCTCTCCAAAGACATTTGACATTGATTTGTCTTAAAACTGCCTGACTGCTTTTATTTCAAGAAAATAGTCACGTCCTAGAGTTATCTCACTTGTTCCATCTGTTTGTTGCTTGGTTTTTCTCTTTTTGTTATACAAACAACCAGGGCCTGTTTCTGTGCTTGGCCTTTAGATCTGAGAACAGACCCGTCAGCACAAGACAAGCACCCTCTCCTCTACAGTCCTTAATACCCACACCGTGTGTGTGTGTGTGTGTGTGTGTGTGTGTGTGTGTGTGTGTGTGTATGGGGGCTCTAAATAGCCAGAGATGAGCTCAGCTACCTCCCCAGAATGGATGCTGGAGCTCTGTGAGTCTCTCTGTGAGGTTTTAGTTTAGGGAGGGGGGGATATTACATCTTCCTTCCTTCCTTCCTAGACTCTGGTTATAAAAGTAATATATTCTCACTATTAATCATATAAAAGTATATAAAATTTAAAACTGTAAAGTTTTTTCCTCTCCCCTAATGCCACTTGACAAAGGAAGTATCATTAATAGTTTTATTCTTAAGTCTTGTCTTTAAAATTATAATCACATATGTGATTATAGATCTATTCAGTTTTGAATTAACTGCATTTTTCCAGCTTAATTTAGGCTGGTCCAACAAGTATACTACAACCCAAGATGTCAGTTTATTTATTTATTTATTTATTTATTTTATTTGAGAGAGGAAGGAAGAGAGAAAAAAAATATATCAATGATGAGAGAGAATCATTGATTGGCTGCCTCCTGCACGCCCCCTACTGGGGAATCGAGCCTGCAACCTGGGCATGTGCCCTTGACGGGAATCGAATCCGGGACCCTTCAGTTTGCAGGCCGATGCTCTATCCACTAAGCCAAACCGGCTAGGGCCCCAGTATGTTTTTTAATAGGTAAACTCAAATCCTTTTATTTAGCTTCTCACTTTAAAAAAAAAATCAAGTTTAGCCTAAGGTATTTCCCTTGATTGTGCATAAGATGGCCTTCATGAGGCCTAGAGTGATTTGGGTTTGGATCAAGCCTCCTTGTGTTTATATAAACCACTTCAGCAAGAGAACTCTGCCTGTCTAAATGGCCTCAAACACAAATATAGAGAGAACATCTCAGGGTCGGGGGCTCTAAAGGTGGGACTAGAGAAAATAAACACATTTTGTGTGCCTACTGCTAAGAAAGTGGCAGCCCGTAATCTTTTTTCACTTGGTCAGAGTGTTGAAAGGAAGAAAAAGCAAAGCTGGCATTGACAATAAGGTCCTTGTTTCTTCAGCCAGCCTTAAGCAGGGACTAGAGTTATCTAAAATCAGCATTCTGCGTAGTGGCATTCAAGTCAAGGGTGCTTCCTCAGAGCCTGGAGATTGGGAGGGAGCTCTAGTCATTGTCCTCCCAGCCCCCACCCACCACACCCCAACCTGCCAGGGGAGGTTACAGGGATAGAGCCCTTGTTCTCGGCTGTGTAACCACCATAGAAGTGGCATTCCCTTTAAGTCACAGGATCTTTAGACCAAAAAAGCAGCAGAGAGCTGTCAGACAGAGTCGGGGAAGGCTTTAAAATCAGTCCGTTTAAATCAAGTGAGACAACCATGTATGGTTTGTTTTTGTTAAAGTTCTTACATCAAAGACCTTCAGCAACCAGGTTCGCAGGAAATTATGTCAAGAAAAGTCTAACAAAGAACTGTGAGCGTAGATATATATATGTAATGATTTCATATGGAGGAGAAATAGTTTGAAGGTCACTTAATTAGTTTAGTAGATAGTACCATGGTGTATAGAATTGGGTAGTTAAGACTGGGATTTCAAGGTTAATGAGATTAGATTATGGTTAATAGAATGATATAAATTTAGAGAGTTTAACCATTATTTGAAATGAGTTATTTAATAAAAATGTTAATTAAGAAGGGAATCTGCTGTCTATTGTCCTTTAATGGTAACCTTTGGGGACTGCAGAAAGGTTGTGGAGTTTTCTGTGGAAGCATTTCATTGTGAGGCAGCCACTGGCCATGTCCCTCCCCCAGGTAACGCCTGTGACCTAAGCTCTTGTCCACTCAGCCAGTGTCATGGTTTTTAGTTTAAAGAGTCACTCAGGAGGAATTGCTTTCCTGCGTTGCCTAATGCAAGTGCAGGCCTTTAATGATTCTTATTTACTAAGGCTTCAGTATTCCTAAAAAAGGAAAGACCTCGCTAGGAAAATGTCCATAAGATCACTTTCAGACATGGATACTGTGTAGTAATTACTAAAATTCCCTAAATTCTTATTTCATCTTCCCCCCTTCCTCCCCTCCTGCTGCCCCATGAGAGCCGGTCAATAATGGGCAGAGCTACTAAAGTGATCAGACATTGAAATAACATCTGGCACCATAGCTCTAAAGAACCTAAAAGGAAAAATGTACAAAGGTTAAATAACCAAACAAAAAAACCTCTGGATTTTTACTGATAAAATAACACCCTCAAGTGAGTGAGCCAGGGGAACAACCACAGATCCACTAGATGGTAAGTTGCACCTTCTGGACTCATCGGGCAGGTGTATCACTTCTTAGCCGAGCAGCTTGAACACATGATTTAAGGTTATGGAAGTTAGTGATTCCTGGGATGGATTTCAGATTCTTGTTCTACCTGATGTCCTGATGACAAATATGTGCAGTCTTGACAAGGACAGGCAATCCCATATGTTGTTCAGCCGCCCCTGTCCTGGGTGTGGAGATGGACTTCTGAGGCTTCAGGAGAGTTCAGAACAGGTCTTTCTTAGCCTGATGGATGGTGACCAGGAGGCCAGCCCATTGTGTAATTAAAGCAGGTTTTCATGAGAAACGTCCAGAGAGCATAGGTAAAGGGCACTAGCAGCTGAAGGAGAACATCAATCTTGGAAACCCTGCCTGCTGAGGGGCCCAGAGTCCAGAGGAGCGATCAGAAGAGACCCAGTTATGTCACCTGGATGAAGGCAGAAAGGGGAGAAACTGAACAATGTCTGGGAGGGGAAGCCTGCGGCCCGTGAGCCAGGCTGCCTCACAGACCTGGAGGCAGTCTCCCTCTGCGCCCTGGGCTGGGCCATGTTGCTAGGGCCTCTCCTCGTGTAGGACATTGAGCCCTGGGACTCCTTTTCCCTGGGTGTCTAGAAACAGTGAACCAAGGACTTGGCTTAGAGCCAGAGAAAGGTAGAGAGAAAGCAACCTCTTCCACCTACACATCTGAATTTAACCCAGACCACCGCACTGTCCTTTACTGGTGCAGTGTCAGGTGTTTGAAGACATTTTCTCTCTAAAACATCGTGTGTGTGTGTGTGTGTGTGTGTGTGTGTGTGTGTGTGTGTGTGATTAAAATTGTACTGGGAGAGAATTTCCTTTCAGTGCAGAGATCAGCAGTTTCAAGCTGGTCTCTAGCCTTTGTCATAACAGACCTGCCTCCACCATAGCTGAGCAGAAAGTTCTCTTGGGTATTCCTCTCCATGCCCCCACCTCATGCTCACATTTTCTTTGCACATCTCTCCCACGTTCCCCGTCTTCCTTCCTTCTCTAAACAGGAGTAATGGTCCGGCTTATAGTCTCACCTAGAAAGGACCACTAGCAGTCGGAGTCCTGGTGGGTGAGCTGTACACCAGAGTGCTCCTCCCACGTGAACATTACACATTTCCTAGCCCAGCTCCTTGGGGTTTTTTTTTTTCTTTTTTCTTGGTCTAGGGGGCTTTTCCCTTAATATACCAATGGAATTTGGTATTTTTAAATATGACATTTACCACTTCTTTCAAGGCCTGGTGTCAGTTATTTTTTACTCCAAGTGTACATGGAACTGCTTATCTGCAAGTCAGACCTCAGGTTTATTTTTAAAATTTCAAACCTCTCTTTAGACCAAGAAAGCAAGCTCAGGACATCCGATTTTGCTACCTCTCTGGTGCAGTGCCCTTTGTCACCAGAAAAAATATTAATAGCAAGCAATATTTATGTATGCAGCGTCCAGCTGCTCCTGGACCCTGGGGGCCTGGTGACACAATGGGATAGGCTGCCTTGCTCAGCGAGGGCCTGAGCTCCTCCTCTTAAAGCAATTACTGATGTGGCATGTAGTCCTCATGGCGTAAAAACCAGGCCCACCCAACCATGGTGGCCACTGCTCCCTTCCAACCACTGAGCAGTGATGGATGCATTGTAGGGTGATCAAATTAAAGGGAGCATTGCAGCCAGAGTCCACCCTTCCATAGAAAGAGGCATCATGCCTTTAATGCTGGACCACTGAGATCTGTGATGAGTAGGTTTCCACCCCTGTGGTTAGGGCAGCCTTATATTTTCCCCAATGGTCATATTAGAGGATAATCTCATGACATAGCAAAATTTATTTCCTCTCCACAAGGCCGAACAAAGCTCAGTATTTGAGGTTCAGTGCCTCACTTTAGTCTCTATTATTGAATTAAAGCTAATCAATTTAAATTCAGTTTCAGCAAGATTGGCCAGAAGGAGGTGTGGTGGAGGAAGGAAGGGGAGGACTATTCATGTCATAATATTGTCATCCCCGTGACGAAGATCAAATGTGCAGAAATTTGGTCAAACCAGTTTTTAACAATAAAGGTTCAACCATTAAACAAACTTATGAGTTCATTTCCTTCTTTGGAAGCAGAGCAGTAACCTACTTCAAGTAACTGATCACTTTTTCTCAGTCATCTGTTTTGAAAAAAACAAAGCTTTACCAAATTAAGGCAAGAGTGATGTGGAGCACTAATTTAAACTTGAGAGGCAGAAGGTTCTGCTTCTTGCTATGGTGTTGTCTTTAAATGTTAATATTTCTACTGAAGGTGGTGGTCTTGGTGGAGAGTTACTATGCTAGGATGTGCAGCAAGGTAAACATGCAGCTTCCACACAGATACCAGGCAGCCCAGGAATCCTGAGAGCTGAGTGGCCAAAAACAGCCTCTGGCATCTTCAGAGCTGCAGCCAAGCTCTGCAGGAACGTGGCCTGGGGCTACCCCCGTCTCATGCCCTTTTAGTCGGAGGTCCTAAGGAAGAAATAACGAGCATTGCTTTTCCCCAACTTTAGGGTGATTCCCAGCTTCTCCATAAGCTTGAGGCAGAGCTCCTCCCTCCAGCACTTGCCCGCACTCACTGAGAACCGGTAAATGGTTGGAGTATGGGTGCCGGAGCTAGAGAGCCCGGGTTCCCAGCCCGCCTCTGCCACACACTGTTTTGTGCTCCCATTTCTTCCTTTGTAATGTGGACATTATAGTCCCTACTTCACAGGGTGTTACAAGGGTTAATTAAAAAGATATAAATTAAGTACTGTAGGCCAGACACCATGCTAGGTTCTGTAAACACAACCTCAAGCCAGTCTGACTTGGACACCGCCCCTCCTCCCCAGGGTCTCAAGGAATCAGACCCCCCCGAGATCTTACAAAACAAATTATCTTTCCTTTTCCATGGGCAACTTGGCACAGCTTGTCCTGATTTGAGTGGAGAGGTATTATCCCCATTGACTAGTGCCTCCCCAACAGCCCCTCACCTCCAGCTCTCTTTCTCCTCAGGTAATAAAGGGGAAAAGTACAATTCCCCAAACCCCAAACACTCCCGATCAGGGCAGAGCAGCCACAGGGCTTGGCCCCTTTTAAATCTCCCTGTGCTTCCCACACTCCTGACTGCTGGGGGCAGCTGCAGAGGCTCAGGGACCAGCAGGATAGCTGGTAGGTACTGACCTCTGAGCGCCCTCTGTTGGCAGGACTGTGGCTGAAAGGGCTTTGCCACCGCTGGCCTCACAGACATCTGGAGCACATGGCTCCCCAGCAGGGCTCCCGCATTTAAATCCCCTCTGTCTCCATAACAGATACCAAAAAGAAAGCTGCCCCTCACCCTCCACATTCTGCTTCGGGTTCCTGCAGCTGAGTAAATATTTTTTCTATCTCTTTGACTGTATTCATGTTTAGTTAGTTACATATAATAAAAAGAACAACCCCCCTGAAATCAGCCATAAAACAAGGGGGGAAACCGGCATTCATATAGTGTGGGAGCACTTGCTTTCTCTGAGATGATTTGATAAAATACCACAAGTCTCCATAGAGGAGAAAATATTGAGGTGCATACCTTTGATAGTGTTTGTGCAGGTTCTGAAGATGGAAAGTGCTACATAAGTGCTGAGCTATTCAGCTTGGGAAGCAAAGAGAAGATGGTTATCTTATTCATCCCTCTTTTATTTGTAAAATCTTTTCTGTCTCCTGGCAGGTGATCATTTTTTTCCTGGAAACCAATTAGCTACTAAAATTAAACATGCTTCTCTTTAAATTAATCCTTTTCATAAAATGGTCTTAAAATTGGCCTCAGCTTTTGAAGTCGGTAGCTGACCCAGTTGTGATTGGAGATGTATTTGGGGGCCCCCTTTCTCCCACCTCGGCATCCCGCCTCCCTTGTCCCCACTGCTGCCAGGTGCTGTCCACCTTCAGGCTTTCGGCCGTGGCCAGCCTCATCGTGGCAGATGCCCTAAGGTCTGCTCTGGAACAGCCATCAGATTATCTGGTTCTCCTGCCCGGGCGTTCTGATGGCAACTGGCAGAGTTTTAATCACTGTAAATTCAGGTAATGGTCAGATTAGCCAAGAGATAGGGTGCCTGCTGGTTGTTTTGCAGTGATGTATTGTTTATGGGATTAATGCTCCGAATGCCCAAAGGTGTCAGCTGATATTTATTACTTTAAGCTGGCTCAGCTGTTCAGGTTCAACCACTAGCGCCGTGGTCACAGGAAATGCAGGGCTCTGCGTGTCATGTATGCCCTGAGATGTGCACATGTGACTGGGACCTCAGCAAGCATGTATTGCAGACTCGGGGGGAGTGCGGGGGGAGGGGATTTGTGCAGGATCCTGCTTTGATCTTGTTCTGAGCTTCCAAAGGAACTCTGCACACCCCTGCAGGTCGGAGAGACTCTAGGGCAGTGGTTTGTTATGGGGTGGGGCCACAATATTAGTAACAAAGAAACAGAATTTCCGGAGGATGAGGCCCAGAAATCAGGATTTTAAAAAGATTCCCAGGTGATTCTAACGTGCAGCCAAGGTTGAGAACCACTGATCTAGGGGAAGGGAGAGTATTCAGGGGTGGCTCCAAAGTGGGTTGAAAAGGAGGTCATCTCTGGCAGGTCTGGCATCCAGGAGAAATCATGCCACCTGCCAGGTGGTTGTAGGCATTGTGTGGTTTTTACCTCTGTCCCTCTCCAGCCTTCTAAGAGAGGACACTTTCAAGGTCACTGTGCCTTTAAGGGAACCTTCTCCCCAGTCCCTCAGCTCGGTAGCGCTTAAAGCTACAAGAATCAGGCCCGGACTTTCTAAACCAATCTGGAGAGCTGCACGAAGAGAAATAAATGCACATTGCCCCAGTGTGTGTCTAGTAACACACACTGCATTTGGTTTGTTTTTCCAAAATGAAATTTAATTTAACCCGTGCACACTGCCACACTGTAAACACACCGGGCACCAGAAGGGTGGCTTATTGAATGGAATGCCCGAGCAAAGGTCAGCTTTTAGAAAAAGCCAAAAAGGGCTGGAATCTTTCCTGATAGCGCCTCAATCAGGCCTCGGATCCAAGCAGATGTGTTTATTTTTTCAGAGGGAGTTCCTAAGAACCCATCTCAAGTTCAGACACCGGGCACTCCCACCCCTCTCTCCCTCCTGTGCTCTCAGAGGCCTCCCCACGAGGTCACTATCCCTGGTCACCCAGGTGTGCCCCTGGGACAGACTCGCTGGAGCTGGTGGTAGGGGAGGGGAGCCCCCCCACCCCCGCGCCCCTCCTGGTCTTGCGTGTATAGTGTCTGTCTTATAACTAACACTGCCTTTCTCTGCCCATTTCCCTCAAAGGACGGCATGAACTGGGTCTGCAAAAATGTCATTGCAAAGAAGAAATAAAATCTAGACGAATGGAGACGCAGGAGCTTCGGGAGCTGAATTCTGTCCTGAAAAACACTAATTTGCTGCTTTCTGACCAAATGTTTTTCCATCTGTGTACAGCTACAGCTGTTTGAAGAGAGGGTACAACACAGTTTAAAAAGAATCCCTATTCCAGCAGTAGATTTAACTGATCTCTGAGGTTCAGTATCATTTTTCAAATAAAGGAATTATATTATTTCCTCTGCATAATTGAAATAGTATTAAATGTCTCAAAGCACATGATTAGAAAATGAGATCTTTTAAATGAGCAAGAGATTGCATTGCAGTTCAGACAATTCCAGTGGGCTTTTTTTCTTCTTCTTCTTTCAAAAAAAAAGAAAAGGAAAAGAGAAAGAAGCAGCTTATGCTGCGTTCATTTATTTACTGACCTGTCCCTTGCTCTCCCCATGGTTTTGGAAGCACGGACAGTGTTTGCTGGTGCTGGTCAGTGATTTTTACCATCACCAGCTGAGCCAGGGCTGCATTCCATCCGGAGGGAAGCTGCTGGGGGGAAGGGAGGAAGAGCAGATGATTAAACCATCTTGTCATGCAGGTAGGAGACTGTGTGTGTAATCCTCACCCTTTGGAGAGGAAAAAAAATCCTTTCTTGCAAACAAGTCACCACATAAACATGGCCCATCCCAACCCCCCAGCCAGCTATACCGGGAAGCAAATTCTTATGACTTTTGACTATAATGACATCTGGAATGTAAGGAGAGGTGGGAGGTTTAATTCCAGAAAAATTACAAGGTCCTTAGAAAGCCCTCACATGGAGGGCTCGGGCCAGCGTAAACAGGCTTTCTCCAGTTCAGTGGAGCAGGGAGCAGCCGACTCTGAGATTAGCTGGCTTCCGCGCGGCAGTCCTATAGAAGGGATTTCTAAAGCTCAAAGAATTCTGTGTTTAAATGATCACAATAGGCCGTTGCTATCAGATTTTTAAAATAAATGCAGCTTACCCATGAACCTGCTCCACTGAGAAAAGGCAGGCAGATCGATTTTTTAAAGATCAATTTTTACAATGCTGGCAACTTGGGGGAGTGGGAAGCTCATAGGCAGAGAGGGTTTGCTGCTGGGAAGAAGGGGTGTGATTGCAGGGGCCACTCCCAGGGAAGCCAGAGTCACCCCAGCTGCCCATCTCCCCTGCCTCTCTCCAGCAAAATGTGTCCTCTGTTGATTGATTGGAGAGGACTGGAAGGAGACTTCTCCCGCCCCGTGTTGCAAAAAGAGCTTGTTTTCCTGAGTCTTAAGAAATCCCTCGCTTCAAGCATGAAAGCTGGCCAGAGCATCACCCAGCTCCTGAATTGAACTCTGTTCTGGTGCCTGAGCCGAGGGGTTCTCAGAGAATGAATAAGAGACTGTCCAGTGGCTGGCTGGTGGGCCTCAGGAGGCCAGCTGCCTTCTCATCCCAGGAGGTGGCCCTTCCCAAACCCACTCGGGCCTGTGAGCAGAGGCGGGGCCACTCCAGCCCCGGCCGTCTGTGCCCAGCTTTTCTGGACAAAGTTGTGCAGGTGAAGCTGAAGCATGTGCAGCCTCAACGGCGTGCTGGGCTGGAAGTCATTCCTGCCAACATGAAAAGCTGCGCCGGGGGTGCTGTGGGCGGACCTGTACGGGCTTGTAAAACAAAAGGTGAGGGTTTTCCAAACCACTGAGCTACCTGCTTCCTGCTACCTCCTCCTCTGGCTTCCTTGTCTCCCCCAGGGCCTCTCCCACTTTGAACAAAGGAAAACAGAATCACAAGAAACCAAAATCCCCCTGCCATCCAGCTGGAAATGTGGCTCTAGGGCTTGCAAATGAGTTTTCCCTCCAAATAGGGCACCAGGGATGCGAGCTGAAGGGCAGCGGCCTGCTTTGAGGTCTGTGATTTTGGAACAATGTGATAGGAACTTTGGCAGTGGATAGTCTGTTAAATACTTTGGTTCTTTTGCCACCAACTTAGGGAACTCTTTGCAAGAGTCCTCCCCAGGCCTGGGCCAGCAGGCAGAAGCCACTCCCCTCCTCTGATAACAGCCTCTGTGAACCTTCACATTTGCTTTTCAGCTAAAGACAGAGTGACATGGTAGATGTCGCAAGCTTTCATCTTCCCTTTGAACCCTGCTGGACCCTCCTGGGGGCTCATGGGGTAGATGAGAGATGCCTGAAAAACCCAGACTTTAAAAGCTCCCATTTGTAAAAACAAAATACTCCTAAAGTCCCCTTTCCTCTCCGCAGCCCCACTCCCACCCCCGGGGCCATGACCAGAAGATAGAATTTGAAGCTAGAAAGGGGATACCCGGTCTCCCGTCCTCCCGCCCCCACTGTGTCTGGGTGAGACTTGCTCTGTGCACCTCTGCATCTGAATGTGCGGGGGAGAGGGCTGGGGGGCACCAAGGCCTGGGTCGGGGGCCCCAGGATGTGTGCTCAGACCAGTTGTGAGAAAAACTCCCTTCCCCTCCTACTGACCTTCCCTGTGCAGCTCCTCCTGGCTGGATCCCCGAGCCCAGTGCAACACACCCTTTCCCCTTCACTCTCCCCTGGTTACTATGGAAACAAGGGTGTCATTGATGTGGGCTGAGCCGGGGAACATGTCGGGCGGGCGCAAAGCTGAAAGTCAGCGATTATGCCGGTGGGTACAAATGTGCGGGGAGAAAGAAGTCCACAGGTCCCAAGATGGCTGGAAGGACACAGTCCTGCCCCCTCCCTCCTCTCCTCTCCTCTCTATCCCGGCTTTTGACAAATTTCTTTATTCCCCTCTGGGCTAAAGCAGTGGCTATTTTTGTGTCACTCTGTGCCTCACCCTCACTGTGGGCCGCTCCTTATCCGGACCTGCCCTGGAGGGTGACACCATGTCAGCCTCTCCCGGACTCGTCCCTTGATTCCCGTCAGAGTTTGCTTTGATTTCTCTTTCCTTCTCAGGGGCAAGTTCTTCCTTTTATTTTTAGCTCTGCACTCCATGTGGTTTCAGGGTTCAGTCTGATCCATCGAAAGTTTCTTTTTATATAGTCCCTTTTGAAAATGATAAAGAAATGGACGTGGTATTTGGTCATGTGGAAAACTCACTGTATAATTTAGATGTCTGTCAAAAATCCAACAAATAAAATTTAGCTGAAATGAAGGCCGCCTGGAATGTGTTGTGTTCTTTGCTGAAGCTCAGAGAGGGCCTGAAATCTGTTTGTTATTTCAGAGGTTAGCATTCCTCAAGGTGCTTTTTTTTCCAGAAGGATGTAATATTAACACCACCAATAACAAAAATAAAAATAACCACTTAGTAAGCTCCTCCCACCTACCAGGCACTCTGCATACATCGCGGGCAGCATTAGGCCTACTTGACAGTGGTGGAAACTGAGGCCCTTGCCTGGGTGAAGGGTTTTACCCAAGATCACAGAGCTGTTAGTGCAGGAGGGGCCTGGAACCCAGGTCTGAAGGCTACAGCAAGCTGCCACCTCTGGGAGCTAAAGACAGTAACAGCCCATTTCCCAGTAGCCTGAGCCCCTAGCCTTCCAAGCCCACACCATGGGTCTCCTCTGACCAGCACTGCTCCCTGGACATTTCTGTCCCAGGTGTTAGGTAACTTCTGTCCTCACAGCACAACTGTTTGTTTATTTATTTTAAAATATATTTTTATTTATTTCAGAGAGAAAGTGAGAGGGAGAGAGAGACAGAAACATCAATGATGAGAGAGGATCATTGATGGCCTGCCTCCTGCATGCCCCGAAGTGGGGATTGAGCCCGCAACGCACACGCCCTTACCAGGAATCAAATCCATGACCTCCTGGCTCATAGGGTGACACTCAACCACCGTGCCACACCAGCCAGGTCACAACCGTGTATTTCGTACCATCCTTTGTACAGACGGAAAAAAGGGTGAAGACATTAGGAAAGTTAGGGCTGACAAGGATGTTTGCAACTATCTGATCCTGGGTCTTCCTTTTCGAGAGAGTTCAGAGAGGGGGATAGACTTGCCCGAAGTCACACAGGAGGTGGCAGAGTGGGCACTGGCCCAGGGCTCTGCCCTCTAGAGCAGAGAAGCTTACCTTCCCCTTTGGCAGCCTCGCTTCCTTGGTCTGGAGACACCAGCATGGCTCTCGAAGGGCCCCCTTTAAAGGCAAACTGCTGGCAAAATAGAAGGGAGCTTGAGGCAGAAGGAGAGAGATCTAGTGTCGCCAGATAAACGGCAGGACATTCGGTTAAATTTCAAACAAGGAACATTTTTAGTGTAAGTATATCCCATGCAATATTTAGGACATACTTATAATACTAAAAAAAAGTAATTGTTTATCTGAAATTCAAATTTTCACCGGCCATCGCGGTTTTTGGGTTTTGTTATTTTGCTAAATCTAGTAACTCTATCCAGAATGCCTGGCTCTGGGACAATCTCAGTGTGCTCTCTAGAGTCATCTATAAGTCAGCTCTGTGATCTTGGACAAGTTGGCTACCCTCTCGGAGTCTTGGCTCTTCCCCTGTGGAATGGGATTAAAGTTATAGGGAGATGGAAAGGAGATAACATGTCAATGAAATACCTAGACCTTGGGCAATCGTCAGCCTGCAGTAGGGATACTCTGTGCCTCTGTTTCTTATCTGTGAAGTGAGTGATGGTCATCTGTCGCATGGCATCTCTAGAGTCGAGAGGATTAGTGGAAGTTTGGATGTCCAGTGTGTTGTCGGTGCCAAGTCATTGGTAACTATTATAACGGGGGGAAATTCTGAATCCAGACCTTCCCAGACCCCCAAGACCTCTGCCCTGCCACCTGGCCCCTCCACTTGGCGAACTTTCCCGGCAACAAGCAGGCAGCCGGCAGCCTTCCTGGAGATGCTGGCAGCCCCCTCCTCACCGGGGCTCCCAGGGCCACCCCAGCCACACCTCCTGCAATTAGATTTGTAAGTGGGAACATGCTCTTGTCAGAGGCTTCTGATTGGCTCCGGGCAAAAACACAGTTTAGCGCTCAGTCAAGCTGCATTTTAGGGCCTCGGTCTCCCTCTCCCTCTTTTCCCCCCTTAATTGCAATCTGTTCAGTAATTTCCTTTTCCAACACTGCAGGAGCTGGGCAGGGAGGAGGGAAAGA